TCCAGGCCCTGTCCTCAGCTCTGGGACCAGCCAGGATTGAACAAGCCAGCATAGGCTCATCTCCTCACCTACCTCCTGCAGACAGGAATCAGGGTTGGAATCATGCTTTGATCCTACTCCTAAAGTAAAGTGCCCAGAGCAGAAGCTTGCTAATCTCAGACGGAGTCACATTCCTGTGGACACATCCAAGCACCTGCTGTTCCGGCACTGTCGTAAGCACTGGCGACAGAGCAACATCGAGGACAGAGTCCCCGCCTGGCCAAGCCTACTCTCTGGCAGGGGCAACAAAGGGAAAATGCAGACACACGTCCTTGCAGATAGCGGTCAGTGCTGTCAAGAGAAACGAAGCAGGGTGAGGATGCAGAGAGTGGCTGGTGGAGGACTGGGGTAGGAGCTTAGAAAGGATGGGCAGGGACAATTGAGCAGAAACCCAAACGAGTGATGAAGCAAGCTATGCACAGACTGGGAAAGAGCCCTCAAAAAGAAGAGCCAGGATGAGACCCCCGAGGTGGAACTGTCGATGCAAATGATCCATAATCAATCTAGAGATCAAAATTTGGGGTGAGTTTGTTGTGAGCCAGGTCTGACTATAGCCCTGGGGGCTTCCTTGCCCAAGGAAGGAAGGGCACCAAAGAAGTGGGGAGTGCAGAGTGGTTGTAGACCATCTTGGAACAAAGAGCGTATGTCACATATGACAGAAATCTCTCTTTTACTACTGTCATGAGATGCTCAGCTGGCACAGCGGGTCGGTGGTCAGCAGGTCAGTGGTCACAAGGAGAACGGAGCAGGTCGGTAATTCATCCTTAGTTTCTAGGAAGAGATGCTTATCCTTAAGGAAATGCCGATATGGGGTGTGGGGACCCACATCCCTATCTTTAGGGGCATCATTCTTATCTTTGGGACATTGTGAATGTTAAAGCAGATAGATGTACAATGCATGCTCAACAGGCCACGTCAGGCCCTCTTGGAAAAACAAGGTCAGGCCGAATTAGTTTTACACCAAATGGCTTCCTCATATTCTCCAATATATCCCATTGCTTGTTATTTATCAGAACCAAGCCAGCATGTGTGAGGCAGCAAGGAAGCCACTGGAGAACTGGCAGAAACGTGACAGGTTCTCCTTGACTTTGATCACTTGGGCTGCTGTGTGGAGAATATATTTAGGAAGGCAAGAGCAGAAGGGGTGCATAGCAGTTCAATAAATAGCTGAGAATAAATAAACAATACGTTCCTGTCTTTTGAATTCCTTTTTTCAAGACTTGCTGTACCTGTTTAAAGCAAATTGGAGCAGTTCACAAAGCAAGCGAAGACTACACGCCACCCTTCCTGAGGTCTCTCATGTGGCCACAACAAATGAGCTTCATCATTCAGTCGCACCACCAGTCAGACTGTGAGGTTTGTCTGAAAGTCAAAGACGGGACCATGAGCCTTCGCAATCATACGCCCTTAAATGTAAAATCAGCTCACAGGATTAAAAGTTCCAACACGGCACACTTTCTAAAGGGTTCTGGTAAAACGTTTCTCTCTGGCACATGCAGCCCAAATGGCTCTAACCTTAATCATTTTTCAAGCTTTAATCTCCGCATGCTTGGCATATTCTGATAACAGTGACAGGTTAAAAGCAACACTCTGTTGTATGCATAGCGATTGCTTGCAATTAACCTTAATTTAGGCTGAAAGTAGACGGATCAGCTGCCTCCCAACAGCATTGCTAAATTTATTAGATATCTCCAGAGAACTTCAGATTAAAAAGCAACGGAAAGAAAATCTGCCGCACTGCAGCCTTCCCTCACGGAAGGAGAGTCTGAAAGCAGGGAAGGGGCCCACAAGGCGACTTTCTCGAGAAAAAGACATTTTTGGCCATTTGTTTACACAGAGTAGCTGCAGATAATGACAACGGTAATGCAGATAAGAAAAGTGTAGCTAGATGATGTCCAAAGGACAGTTTTACCTCCCTTCTGCAAAAGGAACTGTTTCTAAAATTAAAACCCAGACTTTAATTCTATGTCTGGCTTTATAAGCCTTTAAAAAAAATTCTTCAGGTCACATTGGTTTATAACATTATGTAAATTTCAGGTGTACATGATTATATTTCAACTTCTCTGTAGACCACATATGTTCACCACTCAGAGTCTAATTTATCATCCATCACCACACACGTGCCCCTATCACCCCTTTCATCCTCCTCCCTCCACACTTTCCCTCTGATAACCACCAATCTAATCTGTCTCTATGTGTCTGTTATTGTTGTTTTTACCTTCCACTTATGAGAGAAATCATATGGTATTTGGCTTTATCCATCTGAGTTATTTCGCTTAGCACAATACCCTCAAGGTCCATCCATGTTGCCACAAATGGCAAGATTTCATCTTTTTTATGGCTGAGTAGTATTCCATTATGTATATATACCACATCTTCTTTATCCATTTATCCATTGATGGGCACTTGGGTTGTTTCCACATCTTGGCTATTGTGAATAATGCTTTGATGAACATGGGGGTGCATATATCATTTTGAGTTAGTGTTTTCGTGTTCTTTGGATAAATACCCATAAGCAGAATTGCTGGGTTACAGGTATTTCTATTTTTAATTTTTTGAGAAACCTCCATACTGTTTCCCATAGTGGATGCTGCAGTATATTCCCACCAGCAGTATCTGAGGGTTCCCTTTTCTCCACATCCTCTCCAACACTTGTTATGTCTTGTCCTGTTAAGTATAGCCGTTGTGACGGGTGTGAGGTGATATCTCATTGTGGTTTTCATTTGCATTTCCCTAATTAGTGATGTTGAATACCTTTTCATGTGGCTGTTGGCCATTTGTCTATCTTCTTTGGAAAAATGTCTGTTCAGATCCTCTGCCCATTTTTTAATTGGGTTGTTGGGTTTTTTGTCATTGAGTTGTGAGTTCTTTATCTATTTTGGAGCTTAACAACCCTTGTCAGATATATGATTTGCAAATATCTTCTCCTAATTGGTAGGTTGTCTTTTCTTTTTGTTGAAGATTTCTTTTGCCATGCAGAAGCCTTTTAGTTTATTGTAGTCCCATTTGTTTATTTTTGTAAAAGGAACTTTTGAGTCCACTGGTATTTTGCTCAAGGTATGACCACACTATAGTCCAAGCGTGAGCAACTCCTTGCAAATTCCAGCTGGACCTCACCACTGCCTAACATCATCATTCCATTTCTTTAAAATACATTCAACAAATGGTGACTGTTACCCATGTCACCTAAGGTGACATTAAGGTGACATTAAGGTAACATTAAGGGGAAGAAGAGAACAAGACTTTCTGGGGTTCTTTGTTCTAATTTACCCATATTATTACATACTGTGTCATACATGCATGCAAATAATGCATGCTTATTGCATAAAAAATAGCAAATTCAAATAAGCCAAAAGAAAAACTAACTAAATAAAAATTACCTGCACTCCCCTCACCTGCAGACGCCTCCAGCTTCCTACCACCTCAGCAAGACTAAGCAGGGTGGTGTGGTCCTACCTACCATCTCCCCTCTTGTCATAGACATAGTCAGACTTCTGTTCCAGAAGGTGCTGCAAACGTCAGATGAGGTGGCAGCAGAAAAATTCTTGGGTTTTTGACAACAATCACTGCTCTCTCACAGTCTCATTTTGATATTCATAAAATATTTTGGCATTTGCATGACGTAAACTTCAGAAGATTAAGTTTTTTTTTTTTTAACCAGGAAACTACCTATTAAGCAAACAGGCTCAGTATAGGCAGATAATTCCATCTTTACTGAAAACACTAAACAACATACTAAGAAAAATTTTACTAAGCAATCATTAGTAGTGTATTTCTTAGACCTACATGGCTGTCCCCGTCATATTGCAGGCAGGATGGCAGTTACTAGGCCTGTGTCTAAATGCTGGCTTCACCACCTCGGCAAGTCATTCAGTCTTTGTGGGACTCAATTTACTTATCTGTAAAGTGGGGATAATGATACTGATTCTTTAGGAAGATTCTAAAGAAATGTTGTGAGGATTAAATCATTTAAAGTATATATGAAGTTTAGCATAACATCTTGCACATGGAGAACAGTGAAAGGAAATTTTAGCAAGTTATAATCTTCTTGAAATTTTAAGATTTTAGGCCTTAACATTTTTTGTAAATATTCCTTCTTCAAAATATCTATTTTCTAGGTAAGTCAGTAACATTCTTCCTCCATCAGACAATGTCTTAGCCATAAGAGCATTGATACGTTTACTAAGAATTAAGATATTGGGCTCTATTTTAAAAAAAATAGGAACGAGCAACTCTTACCATGCTGATAAACTCAACTACAAATGCATTATTCCAGGACCCAGTTGGGTACTCAGTGCTGTTCAGGATTCTTTTATTCATTCCTAATTAATAACTTTTCTCTTCTTCCAGATTTACCCGCCTCCTCTTCCCTCTCAGCAGGGAGAATAAAGACCATTATGAAGGAGCTTCCCACTTACTCCTTCTTCAAGCTCTTCTCCCCTCTTATCTGGAAGCTTTCTGGTGGGCAGTTAGACAACTCAGGCAACTGTCTGGCACCCCGAGCCCAGTGACAGGCTTGCTGTCATCCGTGTCCTCACCACCAGCACCCTTTTCTAGCAGCCTTCCTGTGCCAATGGTGGCTGCTCTCCTGCAGCCCTGGCCGCGAGGAGCAGCGTCAGCACTGAATGGCAGTGGCCTGACGCGGAGCGTGCTCGTGTGGGTCCCTGCAGCGTCTCAGCTGCAGGGCGTCTGCACCGCCACGGCTGGGAGTTGACGGTGGTTTTGTCTGAACTTGGGGTGGGGCTATCTGACTTCACTCTTTCTCCATTACCCTGGCTAACTGGGACTGTATGTGTCTATCAAACACTTTAATGAATCATTTTGACTAAGCATGACAATTCTAGAGAAAAAAATCAGAAATGTACATTGTTCATTCATTGGAATAACTTGAATACCAAATGACAAGGAATTGCACAAATAAATTATGACACAGACATGGATTACTCTGCAGCCATTAAAAATAATTTTGTAAAAGAATATTTATTGAAATAGAAAAAATTTTACAATGTAAAGAAGCAGGCTACGAAACAGTATGGATGATATACCATTTTTGTGAAGAAAAGTGTACATACATGCGTGGAAAAACTACTGCAAGGACAGACATGAAAACATTAACATTATCATCTCCAGGCTAGGGAATGAGGTTTTTTCCTTTGCACTTTTTGGTGCTTTCTCAAAATTTCTGCATTAAGCTTGTACTAATTTTGTAAATAGAAAAAAGCACAATGGATGCTGATTTAATGAGAGAAAGGAAGGGGGAAGGTGCCAGATGCTGGGAATCTCTACCTTTAAGGCGTCTGAACGAGGAGAAGGAACAAGCACCTTAGGCTTGTATGTACTTTGTAAGGACTCATGTTTCTTCTTGCCACTTTCTTGCTGGTTAGATCTATTTCCACTTCCTCACCGCCTACCAGTATTATAATACTTAACGTAAGCATCCAGGTTAAAATAAGGGAAAAGACAAACGTTTTGTAAAACAAAACCTACTCCCAAAGCAGTATTTGCTATAGTCCCAGCAGTCCCATGACCAGATGCTGGCTGTAGACACAGCAGCATCTTTGAGGTCTTAACAAGGTGCTTTAGTTTAATATAACGTAGGTACAAAATCTTCCTGGGCACAGAGGTACTTCTGGAAGTTGTATTAACCCTTTCAGGCTAAAGCAGTACCCTTTGTAAGTGTTTCCATGGAAACACTGGCTCTTTCTGTGGGGTTGAAAGAATTCATTCCACCCTGGCTAGAGGGTTCGGGAGTCCCCAGGATGACTGGCCTCATCCACCTCACAGCCGTGGCCATTGCTCTAAACGCAGGCTTATCCTAGAAGGCGTCGCACGCAGCGTCTTCACAGATTCGTCCTCTCACACCACCAACAAGCAGCCAGGATGAAGCAGTGCTCCATGGAAGAAAACTGCATTCACATTAGAAATCATCATCATCATAAAACACAGAAGACCATTTGCTAAAGAATTACATAGATTAGGCAACAGGGAATCAGGAGAACTGGAAAAACTGAAGTCTCTTGTGAAAACTCAGGGAGTTACAGTGAAGATAAAGTCTAAAGGTTTCCAAGCACATTGTGAAGGGACTTTATTTCTGGATTTTAACAACAATGCGTTTGGAGTACAGCTTATTTGAATAAATACTTTGAGACGCATCTGCTTTGAAACAGATTTCCCACCTGGCAAAGTCAACAAGTGTAACAATTATGTGAGAATCAAGACTACTTTTCAAGATTTGACTGCAGGTATTTTTATATCATTGAACTTACGTAACTGCAGAAACTTAAAGACTTAAAATCTGGGCTTAGGTGATCCTGCAGTAGAATTTAAAGCACTGTCTGCAATCAAAAGGAACCAGGAAATACTAGAAAATGGGCATCCACCACTTAACTGCAGCCAAAACGCCATCACTGTGACAAAGTGGGTCCAAGAGAACGCAAGCTCCGAGAGGAGGGACGTGTTCTGCTCCCCTCTGCATCCCAAGCATCAAGAACAGTGCCTCCCACGTGGTCGACACGCAACATTTTAATGAATGCATGAACCAGAGGCCGCTCCTGGCGTATATTAGGAATCAATCCAAATTCACTTCCTATGTCAATACCTAATCTCCCACCAACTGCAGCAGCTGTGACTGAATGACTGACATATTAGGAAGCTAAGCGTACTATCCTGTACGCTTTTGAGTAAAATGGTTTTTACTCTGGAGGAGCCCCGACGCCAGTAATTTTGAAGTTGGTATGCCTGTTACTAAAGAGAGAGCATGGTGGTATCACGGGGACACAACCTTTCGCATATTTCCATCTTCTTGAAACCTTTCTCAACACAGCAGGAAGAACCAGTGCCACTGGACAGGCGCGGCTTCCTTCAGGCTCCGGTGCGTCACTTAAGGCAGCTGTGCTGGCGGTGCGAACAGACAGCAGGCATTAATCGTCTGTTCGGTGCTCCCACCTTGTCGGTACAGCTTCAGCGATAACTGCACTGAGCTAGGTGAGGCAGCATCTGGTCTGCCAAGAGCTACTCCATCACTCCCAGAGCAGAAAGGAAGAAGTGCACCCTCCAGAGGCCTGAATCCACCAGAGGCGCCGGCGTTGCCTCAGGGTTTCAGGCTCCTGATGATCTTCACCTCCCCGGATACCAACGCAAAAAGCTGGATCTGAAAGCTGCAGACAAACAGGTGGGCTGTCACACACAAGCCTGCAGCCTCAGGCAATATAAATGTATTTGTTCACACCATGGATTAACTGCTTTCAAGGATCAAAATGCAGGAGACAGCCACATTCAACATTTAAGAATGTTTTCTTAATAAGAAAGCACTAAAAAATGTGAGTAAGTCATACTTTTATTTTTCAGAAGCGTAAATGACAAGTGGCAACTGTCTTCAGAAAAGACATTAAATACAAGGGTAACAAGCTGTCTATCTCACGGAGACAGTAGCCTGAGAAAGACACCATTACCACACAGCTCTCAAGAAAGTCCTGTTAAATCAACCTCAGAATAATATGCTTTTAACTAAAACAACAAAACAAAAACATCAACCACGACAAAAAATTATACAGAATCCATAAGGTGGTATGTGAAGAAGGAAAAAGGAAAATCTGGAAGTCCACAAACTGAGAGGTCTCTATTAGAATCAAGGAGGCCCAAATCCTAAAACAGAAAAAAGAAATACGTTAAAACACAATATTTTACAAGAGTCTAGTGAGGTTACCGGTCCAATGCAGACGCACGTTTTATGCTTCATCTGCTCAGGACACGCCCTCTTACTTTTGCAGCCCTTCTCTAAATACTGCAGAGGGCTCACCGGAACGACAGCACAGAGACCTGCCTTCTCAATGGGCCCTTCAGCCTGAATTTCACATTTGAGTCTGGAATTCCAATTAACTGTTTATATAACAGGCTACAGAGAATGGAATTGCTTCTTAAATCACATCTGCTTAACTTTTACACATTATGGTTTAAACACAATCTATAAACTTTCGAAAGAGAGAGAATTTACAGTATGAAAATAAGGTTACATGAAACTACACAACCCTTCTCATAAGCAGGAGTAGCAATTTCCGAAATGAAGATGCTTAATACAGAACGATACAGCAGTGGGGGGGAGGGGCGGCCCCAGAGGTGCGCACAGAAGACCTCAGCTCCACATCCCGCTGTGCACTGATTAGTTGTGTGTCAGTCTCAGCTTCCCTAGGTCTCATTTTGTTCCCTGGTAAGAAGAGGCAAGTGGATCTCTCAGCTTCATTTCCACTTTAAACCCAAAGACTCATCGTTTACAAGATTTGAAAAACTGTTTGGACGATCAGTTGAATAAATTCCTCAGGTCTTGACCGGCTCTGTCACTGTTCAACTCTCACGACAATAACTATAAAGCGATTCCACACTTTCACTGTGATGAAAGGGGAAATCTACCTGAAGGACAAAATTACACTTCACATCCTACTTATACACTACAACACAGAGAATAAATGTCCGCTCCCTTGCTGGCCTCTAGAAGCACTCTCTGAGAGTGAAACTCTCAAGTGAAAACCCTAGGTCTACAACTGCAGCCAAAACAGCCAGCCTGACTTTCCCTCCGAAAGTCAAGTGTGGCCCAGAAAGGACCCCGTTCCTTATGTCACACGGGACTTCTCCCTGGCAGAGAATGAGTGCACTTGGGAATTGTTTTCCTGATAGTCTACCAAAATCCTGAGAAGAATCTAGCATTATTGGAAGATTACTTATTAGGAGACTAAGGTACAGTCATGGAAATAAACACCTGTGGTAGCAGAGTCCTAGAGACCAGAGAGTTGAACCAGGAAGACCGATGTTGTCCCTGGCTTCTCCAGGTGTATTATCTAGTGAAAGCCGAGGCCAATCAACAACTCTCATGGGCAGGGCCAAACTCTGGGTTAGAACAAATTCTTACAGTTCTTCAGGGTTGAGAATCTATTCACTTTCAGGCTTAAGGAAGGGGAAGAAAGAGGTTCAAGGGTCATATTGACCCAGGAGAGAAGGACAGCAGAAAAGATATGCTGTATTGCACTACCTGCAACACACACTTTTGTCACAACCATCATACAACACTATGGAACATCTCGCTTTGACGTGATTTTTTTTCTTGTGAAGTTTGCCCTCTAACCATATTCACTGCAAAGAACGAGAGTCTGAACTGAGAACTGCAGGAGCGATGAGCACACACAAAAATACTCTATGGAAGGGAGAGATGTCTTCGGCATATGCAGACCTGTGTTTCTTGACAAGCAAAATGAGAGGTTTACACCACTAGATGATCTCTTAAATGTCCTATGGTTCTCAAACTCTCATAATTTTATACAGATAATAAACTATAATTAAGGTTACATACACATTCACTTACTGTTTCTTTTAGAAAATATTTACGGATATAACTGCGTCTTTCTAAACGTCTCATTAGTAATACTCAGTCTTGTAAGTCTGGTTCCATAATAATCTATAATGTAACTACTTCCATCTGAAGGTCCAACAATCTAGAAGAGAAAATTTTCAAAATTACTCATTTTACAAAAGATATTTTCACAATACTTTGAGTTTACTTTTCTTAGTTGTTAATAAAATTATTTCAGTAGCACCAAAAACACAACTAACTCAAACTAACTCAAGCAAAAACAAATTAATTCAGTGGCTCACGCAGCTGAAAAGGATACTGGGGAGGGTCCCAGGATCAGAAGAGTTGCCAGTCTGTGCCCCACGCGGCGCCCAGCGGCCTCCCTGCCTCTCTGCTTGGCTCTGCTGCCCGAGCTCAGCAGAGGCGCTCCCAGCGGGGCGCCAACGGCTCCAGAGGCACATCCTGGAAGCGCAGCAGCTCCCGACAGGAAGAAGGTAAAATCTCCCTGCTCAGTGTGTATATACCAATCCAGGAAGGACTCTGACTCATCTGCTTGGTTTTCACGCCTATTGCTGGACAAATTACTGTATCCAAGGGAAAAGGATTAATATGATCAGCCAAACCAGAAGATGAGCGAATGTGACTGCCAGTCCCACCAGAACCACACGGAATGCAAAAGGAGGAGAGACAGAAAAAAACCCACACTCTCATCAGTCCTTTTGTCCACTTAACCACATTTGCGACAATCCAGTTAATATGACCTCCACAAGCTATCGTTCAAGGTAGCAATCTTCAAACGGTAGCCTTAGGGGTACACAAAGATTCACCAAGGTGTGTGTGAGCCCAGACAGTGTTAAGATAATCAACTCTGGGACCTTAACTCCCACAAACACTCTCTGTAAAGCTGACCCGCCTGATACTACCACGGTGGAGGCACCACGCGAGTCCCCCTTCACTGCAGTCCTTCTCGGCCTGACACACACTTCCCATCAGAGCACACCCTGAGTCCTATGATGGCACGCTGCCGTGAGGATAAGGGCCTCTGCTGTGCCAAACAAAGCGATCGTTCAAAATACTGGACTCCGGGAAATCTCCTCTAATCAAGAGTCCAAAAGTAGGGTTTGCCACATCTTGTTCAAAAGATGCATTTCCAGTAACATTTTACATTTTTTTTATTAAAAATAATTTGCTAAAATTTGTAACATTTATGCTGTTTTGATCAATTATATATCATTAATAACTATAATGACAGCTCAATCCAGAAATCACAAAAAATTTAAAAATGTTTTAATGTAAATAAGATGATCAGTAGATTTCAAGCATAAATATATATTACGTTAGGATAAAATGCTATGGGAGAATAGGAATAGAAAATTCAAGGAGAAAAAGAAACAATGTAAAAATTATAACAGTTAGTGAAGGGTTCATCAGTGTCTTTTTAAAGTGAATGCTGTGAGTATTAAGCCAAGAAAAAGAACGGGTTATGAGAAGTCACAACATGTTTTGAGACTGTAGGAGGAAGACAAAGAAAAGTAAAGCCTGGCCAGCAGAAATAGGCCACACCTTATGGAAAAAATTGCCTAATTTGGAATATGTGCACAGATTGGAACCAGCCTTCTGTCCTATTATCTTTTTCTTCCTATGCCATCTCCCTTGACAATCTCACTTATTCCTGCTGAAAAATTGGAAACAAGGAAAATAGAGGGTTGAGTGACCCTTTAATAGCATGCTTTTCTACTAAGTCCACCTGAGGCACACCTGACTCATGGAAATGGAACTATTTAACTAAAACTGATCAGGCCCCAGACGTTCCACAATCTTGTCAAGTTAGCAGCTGCCATGTAGAAAAACGATAAGGGGTTGTTTCTGTTTTGTTTCCCTGTCCTGTGGACAAGGTAGCCCCAAAGCTGAGTCTTACCACCTGGTAATACATGATCCGATTTTGCACCCACTTTAGCCATCGATGGCAGCACTTCTTCCCCCTTGAACTATGCAGTGCCGGCTGCTCAGCACCAGCCGTATCATGGTACTCCAGGCCTCTTTCCAGAGACAGGCGCAGCCTGGGGGGGCACAGAATTCTCACCAATCGCTGGGGGACAAGTTCACTGGGGGCCTTCTGCCCGCAAGAAGACGTGCGTGAGAGGAAACAGGTCTTTTTCTCCCTCTGAAAGTAACTACATAAGCAAATGATGCTAACCAAAGGAACTGAAGATGGCAAGAGAAACAAGGGAGGAGGGGAGGGAAGGAGGGAGGGAGAGAGGACGGGTTTGGGTCCTTCACTATGTTCTCTAGCTCTAAAAAAACAAATCTGAGAACTACCTTATCTCCAGATATATTATTAAAGCCAATTTAAACTGAGGTTTCTGTTACTTGGGGCCCAAAACTCCTGATAACGCACTTGTCTTCAACGCCTCCGACACACACTGCCAGATCACCAAGCACAGCACTGCTGCTATTCTCTGTGAAGAGAATTTGAAGAGCTGCACCAAAGGCAACCAAATCAAGTCAGTGTGGGAGAGCACCGGACTGAAGAGAACGCTGTCAGCAGGCCGCTGCAGGGTTAATCCTCTCTGGACAATCCACAAAATGAGGACTAGAACAAGCTGATCTATGTGGTACTTTTTAAGTTCTATACCTTGTATGACTTGTCTGACTATGACGTTTAAATGCAAACACCTCTACAAGGTATTGTCAACATACTTTTCTATGAACTATCCCATCAAAGAAGAAATTGCTATCCCTGCTTAATTTTTAAGAAAACTATCAGCTGCAAAGATTTCAATTCTTCAAATCCATATTCCTTCACCAAAATTAGAAATTAAACCTGTTTTTGAGCATCTTATATATGTTTATGTACAACACCTGCCAATTATGAATTCCTCTATTATGAGTCTATTATTGTATTATTAATTACAAAGTTACAAATTTTAAAAAATAAGCCATACTGGGAAATTTTTTACTCAGTTAAGTATGCCTGTGTCCATTTGTTCACTGACAACAGAGTATGAAACCTAAACCGATGAGTCTATTTCTCTGCTGAGTCATGGCCTGAGGCCCAATCTGCAGCATGAAGCCCTTCCGCTCAACCAGCTGGGGGGGATTTCCGAAGTCTGCTGGGGGAAGCAAGACCACTCATATACTTTACTGCAATTGACCGAGCGAGAGGCTGCTGCAGGCCTTCAACCTTCCACGAGGGGAAACAGGAGGGCCACTACACTATGGGAAGATATTTCGTACAATGGATGTCAATGTCCCTTGTGTGGGCAGCCCTAAAGCCACAAGAAAGCAACTTCATATCCCTCTCTATTATTTCCGTGACTTCTGTAACAAATTACCGCAAATTTACTGGACTAAAACAATAGAAATTTACTCTCTCACAGTTCTAGAGGCCAGAAGTCTAAAATCCAGGTATCAGCACAGCCGCGGCCCCACAGAGACTAGGGGAGAATCCGCTCTGAGCCTCTCTGGCTTCTGGTGAATCAGCGCGCTGTGGCTCCCGGCGCTCCGCTCGTGGCCACACCACTCCAATCTCTGCCTTTGTCTTCAACTGCCTTCTCTTCTGGGTGTCTGTCTTTTCCTCTTCTGTCTCCTATAAGGACGCTTGTCATTGGATTTAGGGCCCACCCAGATAATCCAGGATTATCTTTTCATATTAAGATCCTTAACTTAAACGCATCTGCAAAGACCCTTTTTCCAAGTCAGGTGACATTCACGGGCTCCAGGGTCTGACACGGGCTCTTTTGTTCTCCCACACTCTCCTACGGAGAGGGCTGGCGATGGTTTGGAGGAAGGGAGTGGAATTTAATTTCTTCTTTCATGTCACTTCTGATCTTTTTCACCATGAAATTTTATTTGCAGTGTAAATGCAAAAAATCTTGAACTGTTTACTCAAACGGGTACACTTTTCTGTAGGTATAAAGTCTATAGGAAGAAGAGTAAATCAGAAAACCTTAGAAATACATATTAAAGTCAAGAATGTTAAGTGGTCACCAAATTTCCTGTTGTTTTTCCATTCTTTACCTTTGATCTCCACTCCAATTCTCTACAACCCTCACCCACCCACCCATGGGCACCCACACAAATAATGGGCATACACTTAACTTGGCATATGACTTGGATATGTATTTACTCTTAAAAAGCATGTGATGTTGTTTGAATAACTATGTATTTTTAATTTACTTGAATAATGTTTCTGAAGATCTTGGTCAGTTTTGGACTATTTTCACAGTACACTATGATCGTAAGACACTTCCATGTGGCTGTCTGTACACACAGGTAAGTGCCTGTGATTGCCAGCTGGTGTTACAGAGGACACATCCACCCTCCTATTAGTGTGCACAGCCAGGTGGATGCCAACTTCCTGCTACCACAGACATCTCTGCACATGTCCTCTTGTGGACAGGAGCATGAGTTTTCTGGAGTAAATGCCCAGAAGTATCTCTCTATTTACATATGAGTCATGTGGGTGATTCTGTGACTCACCCGTTAGTTTATTGTGCTCATTCAACTACTAGGCTCTCCACCATTTTCTTCTTGATTTGCAGAAATCATCTGTATATTCCACATATCAAATCCTCTGGGCAGTATCCATTTACACAGTCTATTAACTGTTACCTTAATCTGTGGTATCCTTTTTAAAAATTAAAAATTTCTTAATTTTAATGTAATCAAATTCTTTTTTTTTCCTTTATGGTTTATGTTTTTGGACTCTTGTTTAAGAAGGCTTAATCCATCTAAGGTCATGAAGATATTCTCTTCAATTAGCTTTATTTTTTCTTTATTTTTTTGAGGAAGATTAGCTCTGAGCTAACATCTGCCACCAATCCTCCTCTTTTTGCTGAGGAAGACTGGCCCTAACATCCATGCCCATCTTCCTCTACTTTATATGTGGGATGCCTGCCACAGCATGGCTTGACAAGTGGTGCGTAGGTCTGCACCTGGGATCTGAACCAGGGAACCCTGGGCCACTGAAGCAGAACATGTGCACTTAACTGCTGCGCCACTGGGCCAGCCCCTCAATTAGCTTTATACATAAAAGTTTATCTTCTCATAGGTAAATACCCGAAAGAATTAAATAGAGATTTAAACAGATTTTGTACACAAATATTCACAGCAGCATTATTCACAATAGCTAAAATGTGG